ATTCAATATGTCTTGTCGGTCCATCCAATCTATCCAAATTGATTTTGTTTTGGATAGGGTCCAATCCAAAACTGGTCCATGGACACCCCTAGCTAGTGGGGAGTGCTCTCCCCATCCCCATCATCAAGAATAAAAATTTCCCCATCCTCATATCGGTAGGGGAAATCATCTCCATCCTTCAAGGTGAGATGTTTCCGATGTACAACTATAATGGCTGTTGGGACTGATTGTTGGAACCCTATGGACCATATTGGGACTCTTTAGGAACATCCACAAGCGGCAAGTCGTGGTTAGACCTGTTTATGGGATGGGTGGCCCGACGGGCCAGCCCGACCCCCAGATGGGCTTGAACAGGCTTTTTGGCCCGTGGGCTTAACCTCGGGCCAAAAAGCCCGGTCCGCATAAAATTCGAGCCGGGCTCGGGCTTTGCCAAAATAGCCTGACCCGGCTCGACCTATAGTTAAACCTAAGTAAACCTGGCCCGACCTTTAGTTAAACCTAAGTAAAAACCCTATGTGATGTCCATTTGAATAAATTTTTTGATTTGAGAATGTTGTTGATTCACTTGTAGGCCAATTGTTCATTTAAATAGGGGAAAAAAAACATCTAAATTAAAATAGAAAATGTCAATTTGAATAGAGAAAAATTCGAATTTCTTTTATTAGATCGGGCTTCGGGCTCGGGCTCGGGCTTCGGGCTTCGGGCTTTTTATCAGGGCCGGGCTCGAGCCCAAGTTGTAGACCCGTTGGTCGGGCCAGGCTCGGGCCCAAGTTGTAGGCCCGTTGGTCAGGCCGGACTCGGGCTCGGGCCTAACATTTTTCTGTTAACATTTCTAGTCGTGGTCTTATGGAGGCTCTAGACCCAGTCCTATGTCCCCACCAGCTAGACCCGGCCAGGCCAAGATGCTCCCTCCCGTTTCAATCACAATCCGACCCAAAAATTCAAAATCCCCCACCAACCAACTTGAATAAATTTCATGCTCCATTAGTCCATTTCCTTGCTTTTATTGTAGGAATCACCGGAGATGAAGAAAGGCATCGAATCACACCACAAATCCACCCTCCCTGGGTGCTCTCTCTCTCTCTCTCTCTCTCTCTCTCTCGAAATGTCTTGGACCCGAATCAATTCCAAGGAGGATTCTTGCACAAGAGGAATTCCAATATTCATCATTCAGGGCTTCCTTTGGGTTTGTTCTGAATTTAACAAATTCTTGGATCCCAAGCCCGTTCCACATACATTCCTACACGAATTCCATATCAATAAGTTCTCATTTGTCAACAGCACTCACACCGGCCAACTAGCCATCACGAGTCACGACCCCTTTGATCTCTGAGTAGCAACATTCATCTCCCCAGGTGCCTGAACTGATTATTTGACCTACTCAAATTTAAATTTATAGGAGGAGCAATAGATCAACAGGGTCGTAGAACTTCATTGAGTTCAGTCTTTCAATCCCCTAGTTTTAATAAATCAAATCGGGTCCCTCCAGTAAGAAATAAAAACATCTCTAGCTTACAGTTTACTACCCTAAATTAAAGTAACTTGGTTACAATAAGAGGAGCATATATTTTTCTTTTTAGAGGAAAAAGGAATTGAATTTCTTAGTCCTATCCTACTTGCTAGTTTCTTCCTCTTTTGGTACGTACATTGTGGTCGGTTGGCTTTATACTGAAAAGTTGCTCTAGCTAAAAGCCGAATTAGGACAAAAGCAAGTGCTGAAACTGGGCAAACTGAACCTAAGTTGATCTCACCTTTTAATTAAACTCATCACTATTCTAGTCCTAAGAAAGTTGATAAGCGCAACACAAGATGGGCAGAGCTTCCCTAACTCCAAGGTAAAATGGAAATATAGGTAGCATTTCCATTCTCTAGAGGATTCAATGTGCTTGAGTTTGCAGCATTACTCTCTCCTCATGTCTGTCTCCTGCAAATTGGAACAGACTAATAAAGAGGTTAATGACATTTAATTTAAACTCACTATTTCTTTTAGCTTCATATCAATGGGTCCAAGTTTGGGCTGAACCTGATCCAAGTTGAATCCTAGCCTGTGTAAACAGTAACATATATAGACATAACTATGCTAAACCAAAGAAAGAGATCATGTACAGAGAGATTGGGGGTAAACCATATGCATCAGTTCTCCAACTTTATCATCTACGTACATTAATTAAACGTGCATGTTCACTGTAAGTTGTAACCTTTTTCTAAAAAGAAAGGGAATGGTCGATTAAAATAGGGGAAAAGATAACAAAATAATAAGAAATGGCCGAGTATCTCTCTCTCTCTCTCCACCCAGCCAGGTTGGATCACTCCCCTTTCGGTCACTAATGGACTGACCACTGACGTCCAACTTGACTAATAACCTTTCAAGAAGATGAGAGGACTCAGAGGAGGCCTTTCACCATCCCAATGCTGCTCATCTGGATGAATGAAAGATGATGCTAACATTAATTATTATCTCGACAGTCGACACCTCCCTCCTCCCATGTTGTTGAAATGGATTGGTTCGAGCCAATAATCCAAAGATCATTTGACCCATTAGAACATCTCACCACTAAAATAATCGGAGAAACTAATTCAGCTTTTAGGGTGGCAATACTCAGCAGGCGATGGATCAGAATAAATTTGCAAACTAACCATTCATCCAAACACTAAATCCAGACTCACCTCAGTAACCAGTATCTCTCTCTCTCTTACAAAACCATCCATCAAAGGTTAGAGTTGGGCTCAGGAGGTCATCCATTGGGCTCCACAAACTTAAAAAATAAAAAATAAAAGCCACCCAAAACACAAAATAAAGAACAAGTGAAGGAAAAATAAGAGTCTAACAATGAAGGAATCCAATTCATATTTACTTTTGTTTTTTCTGGGAAAAAACTAAAAATTATCAATGTGACTGTCAAGTCTCATCCCTCATTTATTTTAGAGCTCAAAATTAGCATGCAAACAATAATGAAAGTAAGAAACCCAGGTGGGTGGTGGGGATGGGGACCCGATATTGGGTAAAGTAGCAGGTAGCGAGTAGGACGTCTCTACTCTCAAGACTCTTAGTGCCTAATTATTCGCTGACGCCCTTCCTCGGACAAGTGTTGTAGTGAGTTATTCCTCGTCGGATGGGTCTCTCACGTCGACTCGTCATCACCCAAAACACCCACGACCACACCTCCACGGCCAAAGCTAAAAAGCAATCCCTTTGGGGGAATCCATCGATCTAAAGCCTCAAGTCTTTTCTTTATACCCAGCTTCACTTTGCCTCCTTTCCTCCTTTTTCTTTCCTTCCTATATACAAATACTTGAGCCAACAGAATCAATCCCATTTGGCCAAAGCTTAGCTAGCCTTTCTCTTCTCTTCTCTTATCTCCAGAGGAAGAAGAAAGAGAGATGTGTCATCCGGGTCTTCCCTTGATCAGCCCCGGCGACTTGGCCAAGGCAAGGAGATGGTTTGCGCTTCACGTGTCCTTGTTGCTCGAGGAAGTGAACCCCCAAGCGTCAACTGTGGAAGTTCCGGCAGCGGGAGGAGGTGGTGGTGGAGGAGGAGGAGGAGCAGGGGGATCGCCGAGAAGGTGTATATGTTCCCCCACTCGGCATCCAGGTTCGTTCCGGTGCAGGCAGCATCATGGTGAGTACGAGTGGGGTGGTCGCAGTCGCACACGACACAAGGCCAGTAATCAGAGGTTCTCCTAAGCATGAAACTGTGTATATCCGATGGTTGTGCTTCAACTTTGAATTGAAAACAAGGGGCTCTCTTTTTTCTAGTTTCCTTCTTGTTTGAAGATTGGCTTAATAAGATCGAGTAGAATATGTTGATTTTGATTTGCAGATTATCATCATTAAATATGACCACAAAAGCCCACTCAGTTAATTTTAACTGTTCAATCTATTCCTTTGTGAGTGTGCAAAGGATTGCATGTTGGGCTTGGATGAAAGCCCAACTTGGGTTATTTTTGGGTCCATAATTACAACAGCATTTGCAAATGATCTCCTTCTTCGTAACGGTCTCTCGGTCTTTCAGTCTTTCTTATGCTTGGGTAGCTTCAAAAGGAAGCTCAGACGCCATGTTCAGTTGAAGCCTTAAAGGGGTGTAAGGACACCAGCACAAGAAATAGGGCTTATAGCCTGGAAAATTAAAACAACAAATAGGGCTTGTAGATTGTGGACTGTGGGTAATCTCTCAGTGCTGGGTCATCAATCTCATAAACTAGACACGCCGGCAAACAGAAGCAGGGATGAGAGAGAGAGAGAGAAGGCGTCTTATTTCTCAGTTTACCCAGAACAGGAAATTATTTATCATATATAAAAATTAAAGAGTAGGGCTTTTACACAAATAGGGATACAACAGAAACAAATATAATTTAGAGAGAAATTAGACCTGTTTATATTGCTTGACTCTATATGATTAGCTGAGTTGGCCAATCAATCCAGCAGCAGCATTAGCCTCTCTGAAAATGTATCCAACGTACAGATTGCTTTCTTTGATCAGAGCTCTAGGTTTAGGTTCCATGGAGACTTGCTAATTCCTTTTAGAAAAAGGGCATACCCTATACTTTGGGGGTAGTGACACAAGGGCCTCAACTTTCCCTTGTGACAAGAGGTACTCTGTTAGCTGACAGATTAAGATTGCAAAATGAAAGAAAAAAAAAAAAGTGAATATGATGCCTCTCCAACCTTTCTGAACCTGGTTACTAATTTATGGGGTCCCAATGCCTAGTCGTCAGCCCGATTTATGAGCTTCCCCAAATCCCCATTGCTTGCAAACCAAATAATGGGATCTGATAACGAGTGACATGCTGAAAAAAATGGAATTCGGATTCGCTCCTCACAACTCGTTGCAGCCGAGGATTGGGAACATCTCCCCATGATTGACAACATATAAAGTTAGGGAGATGTTCTCATATGCAGCTGCAAATGCTGTGATGTTGGCGTGAGGAGCAAATCTGGATTCGAAGAAACATGCAAGTTGAGGTGCCCAATAAGATAGATACATATGCATGGAAGTCTCGTTCAGACACATTTTTTAGTACCCAAAAATCTCATTGAAGAACAGGAAAATCCAGTACAGAAATGGACAAAACAGAAGAAAGTAAGAAACACTAGAAGAAAAGCCATACATATATTATACACTTGGAGGAAAAGACATCAGGAACCAAAGACGGGAGAAAATTGAAGTGATGAAACCGCTATTTTCCTCAAGCCACCTTGCTGTCTTGCGAAAGAGTTTCTTCTAGCCAACCGGGGGGAAAACGACGACATTTCTTGACCTCTGAAATCCATAGCTGCTGCAACATGTGCTGATCCATTTCCTTCCATCCCTGCCCGTGGATGTACACCTGCTTTCGACATTCTCCGGCATCTTCAAAATGTCTTTTTTCTCTTCATATTAAGTGATCTTCCTTTGGCTAATCTCTCCGTTTGTTCATCAACACTGAACTCAGTTCCTTGCAATAGCTTCCCACGCTGAACTTCTGGAACATATACATTGATATACCAACGGGAAATAGAAAAAAACAAAGAAAACCTGTTCTTCAATAACCCAACATGTTTATCTCCGTACCCATATTAAGAAAATTCAAGGAGTGCCACAAAGTCAGGGAATCAGCACTTTCCAACTTCATATGAATCTCTTACGAAATATCCTGCTACTATTGCTGCATATGCCAAATTGCCAATACCAACGTAAGAATTAGGAAAGAAAATTGGATGCTAAAAAGTTATCACCACACAGTAAAAATGCATAAATTCTTTCTTCTTTAGCTCTTGTTCTTTTGGGGGGTGTTGTACAACATGAATGTTTTTGTTATCATTTGTTTTTGAAATCGCCACATTAGCAAAAAACAATAAAAACATGTTCTTGAACACTGTTTTTGTTTTCAAAGGCAAAAACAAGTTAATTTTGTGTCAAAAAAAACAATACATGTTTTTGAAACCATCAAAATAATGATTTTTAAAACAAAACAAATTTTGTAGTGCAGAAATCATATGATTTATGAAATATGATATTAAATAACTGGATGAAAACATGTTTTTGAAAATTCAAGAACATGTTTTTGGTTTCAGTAATGAAAACAAAGGAAAAAAATAACACGTACACAGCCAAGAACAAGTTTTTTGTATTTGTGTTTTGAGAAAGAATCTGTTTTCAAACCAGATGGTTTTGATTTGTTTTTGGAACCGGCAAGAAGAAAAATAATTCATATTGTAAAATTCCCCCTTAGTGATAAGCAAGGATTAGTGGGTACCAAGCAGTAGATGGAAACTTCGAATGATTAAAGGCAGGAAACCAATTCCAGCACTAAGATTATGAATGAAGACTCAATGCAGTTTGAACAAAAAAGATGTTCTGCAAGCCATTTTATCCAAAGCTTAAGTGCATATCCATCGATTCCTGACAACTATCAATGAACTAAATATTGCCCAAATGCTGTAGCTCATCAGAGTCGTAGAAACCATCTGAACAATTTTATGGCTCAGGCCAGTCAAAACCTATAGGCAGCCAGATATAAAAATGTCCTACAGTCAGAACTTGAATAGACTCTAACAGAACAATTTTGGGATGGTGACCCAGTGACTGGTGTGTCAGGATCAAATGGACCATGCATGAACTCAAGAGGCAGGTAGATTCACTTACCACACAAGCATATAATTTTAAGGGCCATATGATAACAGCTGAAGTGGATAAACTGAATGAGTTACTGCTTTGTCTATTAGTGAATATGTTATCAAGGAAGTTATGAGTTCCTTAATAACTGAAGCTGAAATTAGATTAATTACTAAACTACTGAATACTTTATTATTTAAGAATGAAATCTATCTAAAGTAGCAGCGAAGAAAATGATTCCTCACATCGGGGTAGCAATCTTGACTAGTGACTGTCTGCTTCACCGTATTCGCATGCACCTCGCAAGATATCTTTGCCTGATAACAATTCCAAAAATAAAACACAACTCAACAGAATTAATGAATAAAATCTAGTTTTTCTTAGAAAGGATGGTTAGTACAATATCATTTGTCAAATATTTGCATTAAATTAGTGCTTTTTCATTCTTTTTTTTTTTTCATGGGGGGGGGGTGGGGAGCAGGATGATTAGTACAGTGGGCACACCTCTAACCTTGGGTCTTTTTTCCCCAGCCAACACAAAAATGGTAAGGTTTGTTTATATGCTAAGTTGATGTACACTAAATCCTTTTTCTATCAACAAAAAAAAAGATGTACACTAAATCCTTCATCCTCACAACAGAACTTGCAAGTTAAGACTTATGCAAATCCACAAGATCCTCTAACACAAAGTCACAAATTTATACTTTGAAGCTTAATATTTAGAAACCATGGTTTTTTTTATAGAACATCAAAAAATGCAACCAAGAAACATATTGCTGTCAGTTGAAGGAAATAATGATTATAGATTTTCTCTTGTTTCTTCTTTTTCTAGTAAAGAACACTAAAGCTCCTGCAGCTTGTATATTCCTTATCTCTATGTGTGCCTACACCCTGCATCAGTCTACTTTATCCCTTACACTTCTTCTCTTGATCCTTCTCTAGCAAAAAACACCATTCAAGCTCCTATAATTTGAAAACCTTGACTTGGAGTGAGTGCCTGGTTGCCCACACCATGGCAGTGCACAAAAATCCAGATTCTGGGATACGTATATAGGTAGTTTTGCCTTCATTTTCTGAAATTCTGGAAACACTAGGTTGAGGGCAATTTGTTAACTCAACCAAAACTTACAAATCTGGATGCTTTTGTGTTAGAAGTGCAAATGCTAATAACTTTTTAGTACAAGGGGTAAAATATAAATTCAAAAAACATTAGGGAAATATGAGCACAAAGCTTCATTTTGTAATAAACTTGAGCACAGAATTTGGGGCTTTATGCATAATCTCACAATATGTAAGTCCAAAATATAGAGCTTTTCCCTTGATATGAAGGGAACAAAGAAATCTGAGGAGCAATGGGAGCAATAAACCTTGTATTGTGGAGAGATAAGGTAGTGATAGGAATCGATCAGCACCCTTGAAGACTTATTCTAGAAAGAAGGCCTTACAACAGGTCCTGATATGGCATAGTGATGATACTTGGGATTTGGAGTGAATTGAACACCAAGGGTATTTTTGTCATTTTGCAATTTTCTGTGGGGTCCAATGATAGGGCTTAAATTATCTAGTTATAGTTTGTTTATGTTTAAAATTCCAGAGTCATTGCATAAGTAGGATTAGAGTTATTGAGTCTTCTTTGAATTGAAATAGGATATGACAGCTTAGTTTGAATCCTACTAGGATTATTGAGTCTAACAGTTTTACTCCTAAGACTATTTTGAGTCTAACAGTTTGACTCCTAGGATTATTATGAGTTTAGAGTCTATAAGTATGTATGGACGTTTTACACAAAGGTAATGAATTATATTGAGTTTTCTTCAGCTTATGCTAGCTATGGTGAGTGATTCCCATGCCCTAGAGTGATTCTAGGCATCCTGTGAGTGATTCCAGGTATTTTCTCTCTTCTTTCTCTCCTTATTTTCTCTTTTATTCCTTCAAGAAGCCATTACAGCCATCAACAGCCATAAAACTCTGATCAAAAAGACCATTCAACATTCTCTAAGGACTAGAACTGAGCTGGTCCTGCATAAGGTAGGTTATCCCATGAAGCAATTTGGATGGACTCTTTTTGTGGAGTGATTCAGGCAGCAGGAACATGACGGAGGTAATGGTTTAATGTTCCATGGACATTATTTATGAAAAAAAATGTTCCATGGTTATTGACATGAGAGTTTGATCCAACAATGATTTGTGAAATCTCTCTCTCTCTCTCTCGCACACACACACACACACACACACAACTTAGGCTCAATTTTATCAATGCAAAGACTAGTAGTTTTGGCCCTTCTAGTCAATTGATGACTGACTAGTGTCCAAGTGACTAGTTGATCCAAAAAAGATATGATCTAAATTTAAGATGTTGATGCAATCTGGTACAATTGTGCAATAAAAGAATGATATTGAACGCCAAGTTTATAGTTATTGCTTGCAAAAACTGGATAGACTAGGATAAGGAATTACTGATAGTTTGTTTCCTGAACTAAAGCAGCCCTGAAGAAGAATTCCATTGTGAACATTTGGTTGAACATCAAAATACACATAATCCATATTCATGATAAAGATTTACAGATGCACCCAAACTGATAATGTGAAGCTTCCATGAATTGGATCAAATGTCACAGCCAGGCATAAAGAAGATTTAACAGAAACAGAGTCCTATTACATAAACCATTCAATAGCTAATCTGCAAACATGCCACCACTGACGTACAAAATACTGCTACACTGACAGCCCGTGAGAAGAATTGGCCCCATAGGCCATAAAAAGCTACAAAGCAGTTAAAAGATAAATTTGTTGGCCAACAATTAGTATTTGAACCAGTTAACAAAAGCATGTGAGTGGGTTTTGGTCGGAATTAAGTATAAGTTTTAATTCTAATAAATGAATCCTACAAAAAAATTGAATCAAGATTGAAATCATACAAAAGAATGTGATAGAAGAATAGAGTTTCCAACTTGAAGTGAAAAACAGATTTACAATACCTAGGTTTATGTATTACAAATAACAATTTCCCTTTTATTAGCATACCTATAACTTTGGAGCAGAGTCTTTATGCTCCGCAATTCTCAAACCCCGACACAGAGGCAATGTTTAACTGTTTAGTATGGATATAATTCAGAAACGGAGCTTGAGATTGTTTACTTTACCTCTTCAAAAACAAAAAACAAAAAAAAAAAAAGACTGTTTATGATAATTCTTTTTCCCTTTGTTTGATCAATTTGTTTCTGATAATTCATGAATACAAGCTATCAGTCTAACTATTTGTATGTAATCACTATGAAGAAATTGCTACGGAAACAATAATGTTTCCTCTGTCTTCCTAAAGTGTCAGAAGCTAAGTCTTTATGAAGCACCACACCATTGTAGTCTAAAAGGTTTAAACTTCGTTTGGAATGTCCAGACTAAACTCTTAAATAAAGAAAAGAAATTACAATTTGAGTATAAACCCAATTTTCCAGCATCTCCTCCTCCCAACATCTGTACTAACTCAGCCAAGCCCACGTTTTCTCAACCAATTGAAATTAAACTAATCGAAGCATTCACAAGCAAGCACATACCAATCGAACAAAAAGGATGAACGAGCGATTACCTTGAGTGGAAAGTTGAAGAAGAATAAGAACTGTAACTGTCCTTGGACTTCTGAAACAGTGTCTAAGGGAATAGAACCTTTAGCCAAATCTTTCAGCAATAAAAACACGTCGTCGAGGATCTCAACTCCATCGAAGTTAAGAGTAGCGTTCACGTAAGAAGAACCCCTCGCCCTGACATGACCCCCGTTCGATGTCACAAACCCAAATTGCTTCCCCCGGTACCCAATCGAGATGACGATGGAGCTGTAGTTGAAAGAGAAAAAATCTCTGTTCCGAGCCTTGACAGTGAGGGCTACTGAGACGTCGATGGAGACACGAGGGGAGGTGTGCACTTGGACATGGCCAAGACCCAGACGTACCACGTTGACCTCGGGTCCGGAGGGCCAGATGAGGTACAACCCGCCGGCGAAGAGGAGGAGCGCAGCGACGCCAAGGAGGTGGCGCCGAAGGACGCGGAATTGACATGGGGGGCAATAGAGAGGGAGGATGATGTAATGCTGCTGCGGCGGTGGTTGTTGGTGGTACTGGAGCTCTGGTGGGGGAGAAGGTATGGGCGAGTAGTAGACTGGCTCACCCTTTGCCGCCATTCTGCAACCAAGCAACCTTGGCGTTTGGACTTCAGAGTTCGGATTTCAGACTTCAAAGGGAAGCAAGGCAAAAGGTGTTACAAACTTATAATAAACTGATTGGGTTTTCGGTCGATCAAGACTTGACGAAGAGAGAGAGGGGAAGAGAGGGAGGAATTTTCCTGGTTTGTTGGTTTCGTTGTTTTCTGGTTTGTTTTGACTTTAAAAGGGTGGGGTTGGCGTCGTCAGCGAAGGAAACAATGTCAATACAGGTACGGGTGTCAAGAAGATTACAAATCGGGTACAAGAAAAGCGGCCCCCCATGTAGGGATATGTCTAGTCGGGTTTGGTCCGGGACAAATGTATACGGTATACCCAAATCTACACCATATCATATGACATATGCACTGATTTCGGGTCTTAGTGGTTTAGACCCGGGTTTCTCCAGGCATGGACCGGCCAAATGGTTTGAAAGTATAAGGTATTGTAGAAATTTCGGTAGAATGTTAAAGACCGCTATGGCTAAATTTTATGGGGAGGAGATCCAGTATCACTTCTAACCGGGTCTAGAGTTGGATCCAATTATTGGGTCATTAAATTTGTGACCTAAGTTGGACCATGCCACAATGTGCGGCTGTAGGAGGTGGAAAGAGAGTTAGTGGGTCCGGATATCCTATCCACCTATTCTTCCCACATTCTTACTCATAAGATACTATCACTACGTATTTGAAACATCTCCCTTCAATGGTAGCTGCTCTCAATACCTTATAAGGTTATGTTTGATTTGATAGAAAATAAGAATTTGTGATATTCTCTAAGAATTTTCCCTAATTCTTTGCCTTTTTTTTTTCATCAAACCAAACATTCTTTTGTGTTTTCTAAGTTACTAAAATTAATTTCAAGGTGAAAAATATGATCAAATTAAAGCCAAAAAATAAGGAAAGGAAGAAAAACAACAAAAATTACAAACTCTTAGAACGATTGATCCAAAATGAGAAAAAAAAAATAATAGAAGAAAATACCAACTTAATCTAAGAACAAGGAGTAGAATGAAAGTACAAGATGGTGGGCCCTGTAAGTAGAAAATATTTTTATTTTTTTTTTTCTTTCTATGGTATGATAAAGAATGTATATACGATAAATGTGTTGACATTTCAACTTATTTATTTGTTATGATGTCAATTTTCAAGAAAATAAAAGCCAATATGGCAATTTATACAAATAAGGTTCAAGATGATGTTTCTTAGGGAGCTATACTTGTATATACTTCTGTTACTCACGCCATATTTGTCTTGGCTTCACGTCCAGGCCATAAAAGTTAAATGATAATATGTTAATGGCATCATATGGTGTCAACGTTTGCAAACAGTGGTTGTCCAAATATCTCAATTTTTAAATTCAAGTTAAGTATTTAAAGAAGTAAAATCAAAAACTAAAATGGGTCTACACAACCCAGGGGTAATCCATCCCCAAACCCATAAGCCCCCAACCCTAGTGCACGTAGGATTTAATGCCAAATCTCTCCTACAACCAGCCAAGACCTTACTAACCAACCAGTTGGCACCTTGCAGTCTAAATGTCTTTTCATCTTATTGCATATATAAATATATTTAATATACATAAATATATTGTATACATTCTAATATAAGTTGCTTAAATTATTAGTTAATAAATATTAGAGAATTCTAGTTATAAACCATACATGAAACCAAGTTGGACTCTCAAGATTTCATCATTAGATTATGGTGGTGTTTGGCATCGATGTCGTTGCTCCAGAAAATGGTAACACATCAGCACTATGTTGGAAAAATCGGTATTCCAGAAAATGATAACATGTTTGGAATAAAAAAAAAACGGTGCTCCAAATCACACCTTAGAAATCGAAAAGGTGTTGTTTAGGAAAACGCTGAATTCAACGTTTTCTCAATTTGAAGCTTGCTGCTTCCAATGAGGACATGATGTGGCAGTGATGTGGACTTCTTATAATGGGTATCAGTGTTAAAAATAGATATGGAGCACCAGTACCAAACAGAAGGTGTTATCGTTGCCTCAGGAAATGTCCTACTTAGCAACAATGTTTCCAAACAAAAAAAAGACCATTTTCTCATAAAACAGTATTGTATATGCAGCATCGATACTATAGGAATCATTTATTTGTAAAATTAATTACAAAGGGCGAAATTGTACAAAATTTTCAGTTGAGTTCAACTTTAGAGGTTTATAGTTCATCAAATCTACTAACCAATTAATTTTCTTGGAATCCAAGAGAACAAAATTGTTTGCTTGTCTATGTAAATTTGCTTCAAAGCAAGAATGCCCTAGGCGTCAGATAATTATGATTTTTTTGGTAGGAATGAAGGAAGTATGAGTATGAGTATTAGGGTAAAAGCACTGAACACCTGATGTGAATTGAATAACTTATTGTTTTGTTTTTTAATGAATCAGTCAAAAAGTAGGTTGTGAGATTCTTAACGGCTGAATGGAATTTATATATTTTATGCCCCCTAAAAGATTTCATTTAATATACTAATAAAAGACAAATTAAAGCAACAAGTCCTTGAGTAACGGTTGAAGTGATTGAACTGAATGAATTATTATTAGTTTCAAGTAGCCTCACAACCTCTTAAAAACCCATTTACTAACTAAGGCTCAGTTTGGATGAAGCACAAATGTAAATGTGTAGAGTGCAAAATCTTATATTTTATATTATTTTATATGTATTTGCACTGTACATACTTGCATTTGTACTCTTTTCAAACTGAGCTAAAGAGTAAAGACAAAGCAATAAGTTTTTGGGTTCAGCCACTTCAGCGGTTATCAAATGGCCTCTGATTACTCTACCCACAAAGCTTGGGGTATCAAAAGCATATTCTTGTGTATTGTATTGAGAAGATTGCAAAAGCGACCCTTCTCTTCCCTTGAGAAAGTAATTAAGTTGAGAGGTTTGAATGATTTGGTTTTGGAATCGAAGGAAGAAAGAGATGTGAGACACTGATTCATACTGTACTACTTGGTACTGTTCATGGATTTGTCGTAACTCGTAATATTAATGGTTTATGTCATTGATTTGTAAACCGGATGTTTCACCTACTGTCCTACCTGCTGGACTTTACCTTACGTTTCCTATTAATAATGATTTGCAGAAACATCGTGTTCACTGGAATGCTGGATCGATGATCCCAGCCATTCGACCAGGGACCAGCTCGGAGTTGCCATTGGATGGTTATATCCCATCTATCCAATATGAATTTTGGGGTGTTAGAAAAGAAAACCATGATTTGATTTTGACCCAAAGCCATGGATTATTGATCATTATTGTTGGTTCAATGGTCTCTTTGGTGATAGAGCTCTCATACTGTGGATTCCTGGATTGTAAAATTTCAACTCTGAAGATAAAGATGGGCACAGAAGCCATGAAAATGAATTCAGAATCTATTGATCAAATAGATGAATGAAACTAAAAGCGATTAATTTATTTCCATCAAAAACCCATTAATGGAATAACCAGTTCCCCAACAGCATCTGATCACAAACATATTTAATTCATACGATGATATATAGTTGTCCTTTCAGCTAACTACAAAGGTTCAGACTTCAGAGCCAAGGAGATCGATATTCTTTTCTAACAGAACAAATTCTTTCTGGGTTTGCTTTGGATTTTGATTTTTGTAAACTGGAAGGAGACCTTAATTACCCCATCTCAGGCCCAACGAAACTAGAAAGAGAGATATCTGATACCTCACACTTAATCAAAAGAAGGAAAAGAAAAATAGACAATCAACTGGTTATAGTTACCTTTAAAATTTTGTACAAAAGCAACACTACTGACATAACATATATAGGGCCTTACATAAATGGGGTGACGAATTCCCAGGTACTGAAACTACGTAGACTCAACGGACTTCGGCGAGATGGACGGAGAAGAATTATTTCCGGACACGGATTTGGTGCGTCTCATCCAAGTTGAAGACAGGTTCCGATGAAACTTGCACCTGAAAGAGCCACTGTGTGTCGTCGGAGAGCAGCAGCACCAACCCTTGGACGAATTGGCCGGTCCTGAACCCGATTCAGCGTTACCGCCTTTCAGAGAGGAGCCGACGTTAATGGTGCTAGGAGTTGCCATGTCTGTGAATGAAAAATCAGAGAAACCTTTTGCCTTTATAAATAAAAACCTATGAATTGTAACGTAACTGGCAAGCTCTCTAGTCTAAAGAATAAGACAAATTCGGAGGAGATATATATTACGAGATTCAATCAATTGTGAGGTCAGAGCAATTCCTCCGATCAAGTGGTGCTCTTCAGCTCTTGACTTTTATTCGTCGGTGGGGTGGTGATCGATTTGTGATGAGAGAAAGAAAGAGAGGCTGAGCTTTTTTTACAAACTATTTGAGTTTGAGCTTGCCTCAGGAAAAGATGGATTCAGTTCGGGCCATTCGAGTCCGAATCCAATATATAGGCCCAGTTGGCTATATAATGAAGCTTGGCTCGTGGATTTTGCAAGTTTAAAAATCAATCCGGAACCAGAGCCGCTTTAGCTATCACCCACAGGTTTTTGGGTCAGCAGTTAATAAAATAATTAAATAAATAAAAAAAAAGGCCAAAACTGTCATCTGGGTTAAATGAGTTAATGGTTTGATCACCCGAAGTCAGTGGGTCGCTGATCAAGTAACCGATTGCTGAGACGGTTTTCAAGCCAAACGGTCCAATTGTCTGAACCAATAATGATTTAAAAACACTAATATATAATATTTTAATTTATATATTTATATATATATAATAAAAAATAATTATTCATGTCTATCATTTCATATATATAAATTTTTATATGTATAATTTTTAATTTTTATAAAATTTATCTCCGAATAGAACTCAAACATAATTCAAATATAAGGCTTCGAATTCATATTTTAAAGTCAATCTCAAATTCAACCTACTAATTTTTCTGCAAGATATTCCACTTGGTTCCACTTGAATCATCCTAATCGTAAGAGAGGGATATAGATTTGGAAGAGTTGACGTGAGTGGTTGCATGAAGAGATGAGGTTCGTAGGAAAGTAGTATTCTTGGAAGTACACGCGTCAGATTCTGTAAGGCTTATGAATTATTGAAGAAGTGGAGTAATTCAGCTGCTGGGGTTAGGGTTTATCGTTTATCACTTCGTTAGACATCAGATTTCCAGCTTCCAAGCTTGTGTTGGATTTAAGGTCTTATGGATACTGTATTATCTATATCGCTTTCTTTCTATCTCTTCTTCCTTCCCTCGGAAGCGACAACGATGAACAAACCCATTCAGGTTTTGATGGATAACAATGAGCCCATTTCATACTTGTGAATAAAATCCCACCGTGTGAAACGGATAGAAAAAGGCAAAAGTCACTGGGAGATCCCACTTAGAAGGGTTTCAGTTGATATAATCCGAGCCGTCAAACCTTGAAATATTCTGAATTAATAAAATGGAAGATTCCTAGCTAGTGTTGAGAAAGGAAAAAGCTAGAATTTTTCTGTGATGCTTTTGGAGTGTAATAAAAAGAAGCAGCTGAAATAATAAAAAGAAGCATGTTACATGTGAAAAGGCGTGTCGAGTCTAAGAAGGAATCTCACCTCACGCAAGGATTAAAGTAATAAGATGTGTTCGAATCTGTTCCTCACAAAGAGCGCCACACACAGACCTCACAACATATTTTAGCCGTGTATCTGGAACATCTCCCTTAAAAAAAAACATATAAATACGAAAATATTTCAGATGCAGAGCCAAAACGGAGATGTTATATCTTATACCGGATAGATGTGTGGTGGATGACGGTTTCACGCTTGGCTTCAAACTAATCTCCTTCATAGTTCACGTTTGGTTGCATGGATATTGATGAGGGCAGATTTGGCCCCAGTGAAATTGCGACACGTGGCACCTCGCGACCTGGCGCGACCTGCGCGCGAACTGGCGCGCGGCCTGCGTGACCTGGCCGGATCAGCCTGCCACATGCGCCGACCTGGCAACCTGGCCCGGACACAGGCGCTGACCTG